CCAACTGCATCAGGCTCCTTTTTCCATTAAGCATCTCCTGCCTTGCTTATTTAACTAAAATCCACATCTTTGCAGACCGAGGTAAAATTAAACATTTTTAATTTTAACTATTAAATGTCTATAGTTTCCCTTAAAATCAAGAACTCCAATGTTACATAAAGTTTACTTAGAATTCCTGTTATTTTTCAACTCTCTGAATAATCTTATCATTCAAACAGAAAAGCCAAGATGAACAAGGGTTCTATAAATACTGGATAGCCTTTTCCATACCACTTCCAGATTCATGCTTAGTTTTATATATCCCACCTTTTCTTGAAGATTTCACCAAGATTACCTAACCTTGATGACAATTCCCAATGTCTTCTAGTAGGGATTCCTCTGTAATCTAAAGGCAGGCTATCTCCTGGCAGCTGCTAAAAAAGGTCAAGCCAACTGTCACTCAGGTATCTTCTATAGCAGTAATGATTAACCTTTTTGGTGCCAGGTGCCCAAAGCATGTGAGTGTGCATGCGGGAATGCACACACGTGTGCCTGGAACCCCCCCAAATGCGAGTGCCCCTGTGCACGCGCACGTCCCCCGCACATTCACCCACCCCACATATGCACCATGCCCCCCATGCCCCTCCTTTTGGCTTCCAGGTTGGTGCAGGCAGCTTTCCAGGCCCAAAACAGGGCGCGGTGGGGCGCACGAACCCCCAAAATGCAATGCGAACACCCCCCCTTCGCACGCGTATAAGCGGCCCCCGCATGCACTCTGCACATGCGTGGCAGAGACCCAAAGACCAGCTGGCCAGCGGGAGGCACGTGCCTATGTGTGGTAGAGCTGGGCTGGGTTGACAGCTGGTGTGCCAGGCGACATGCCTCTGCGTGCCACTTTGGGCCATCACGATTCTATAGCAGTATCTCCTTTTTCCTGCTCAGGAATTTCACCTTTTTCCAAGCCAAGAGGCCAGAGAAGCCCGTCCTCCCTGTTCCTTTTTCCTTTGCGACATGTGGGCGAAGCACTGAAGCCTCCCTATCAACCTATAACATCAACTGGAGCTTTACAGATGCCTTTGAAGGTCTGGTTTCAGCTAAACCACATTAGGTGATCTTCATCTGAGCCAAAATCTGAGCGAAAAGGAAATTCTGCAGGCCCAAGTTATGTACTGTATTTAGGAACAAAAAGAAAACATAGTGACTTGCGAAAAACAGGTGTGAAAAGGATTAAGGCATCTTAAAATGATCAGATGCTGAACATGAGCTAAAAGAGCTATCAGCATATTAGCACAAGAATGCTGCTTTCAGATCTGGGCACCATATTTTAAGAAGAATTTTGAGAAACTAGTCAGGGGACTTAAAATCAAGAGCTGAAGGAGATGGGAATATGTGGCTGAAATAGAGATTAAGGGAAGTCTTCAAAAAAGCAGAAAGGCTGTTATGTCAAAGATGAAGAGACAAAACTTTTCTATTACTCTATTCTATTACTATCAAGGGGTGGAGACTGCAAAGAAACAGATGTTATCTAAACAGTAGGAAATATCTCTAGAAAGGAGAAATCTCCTCTTTACTGCAGATTTGGGCAGAGGCGAGACAGCAGCGTGAAAAGACCCTGGAACAACAACCAGGACAGTGAGACGAGCAAACAGAGGGCCAGAAGCTCTTCTGCCACATTCTCAGCCCCACACGATGCCTCAAAAGGCTGTCACATTGTTGCAATGTGAACTTTCACCGCACAGTGTCCCATTTTCCTGGGATGTTCAGGATTCCTGCCCTTAGCAGGAAGTTGGACTAGAAGGCCTCCAAATCCCTTTAGGATGCTATCAGGTAAGAACTGCCACTAGAATATAGTAAGAATACAAATGTTTGCAAATTGATCAATCAAACACTTGAAAGCCAAGGACTATTCCCAGATGTTGCACCATCTGCGAGCCCCAAAGGCCCAGGTCGACCAGGTTTCCAAGGCCTCTCTAGGAGCTGCTATTAGTTACATATTCTGGGCCAATGGCTGGGCTGGAAGGGCCCCAGGGGCCTTGTCTGTCTGCCGAAAATGCTGGTCCGCTGACCGGAATGCCTAAACATCAGCCTGGCCCTTGGCTCATTCTCTGCCAAATCCTCTGGAGCTGGATCTGAATGGCCCACCATGTGAGAATGGGAGGTGAGGATGAACAAGTTAGTACAGATGCTGACCCTGCCCTGAGACACAGCAGCAGCTGAACAGGATGGACCCCAGAGGAGAGCAATCAGGCAGACCCCAACCATCTTTGGGGGGGGGGGGAGAAACAATTCTCCACCATTATTAACAGGAATCCCAAAACAAATCCCTAGAAGAGGCTTTCTAGAGGGAAGCTTGTTAGTATTGAAGTACAAAGCACAATGTTCAGTAAAGACGAATGCATTGGATGTAGTAATCCACAAAACCTAATGAAATGAACAACCTGACTTTTGAAATGCCGTAAGATTTTATCATAAAGTCCTCATAAATAGTTTCCCTAAAACTGGGGGGGAGGGAATCCACCCTTCCCCAAACTGAATGCAGCTCTGAGTGTTCAAATGTTCTTTACCTGATCTACATAAATTAAGATGCAAATAAGTGGGTATTTGGGGTTTCATACTGTGGATTTTTAAAGTGGTAAGCCACCAGGAGTCACCATGTGCAACTCGGGTGGTCATATAAATTTGTTTAATAAAGAAACAAACTGTGTGTTGCTTTATTTGCCCTCTACAGTGTCTTCTGCTTTGCCCTCTCACCCTGTCATGATCCATTCGAGGCTCTTTGGGCTTCGGTACAAGAGCAAACCAGCCCCCAAAGTCAGCTGTGTTCAGAGCTCCAGCTTTGTCTTAAATCGCTTCAGATGTTCTCATCTCTTGCTTAGCAGACTTCCTGCTACAAGTCCAGACTGGAGCTGGGAAGATAATAAACCACATACGGTGGTTGGCAGAACTACCAAAGACTGCAGACTTAAATTTGCATCACCCGCTCAGCCTATGGGATCCGACCCATTTGGTTGGTCCCTTTCCTGTTTAAGCTTCCTATAAACAGTGTCAGTTCAGTCATCAAGTGAGGCATGTAGGGGGAGGGGGGGCCCTACACAATCAGTCCATGGTTACTCCCCCAGCAAAAGAAGAGTGGGCAAAGCAGCTCAAGATAACTTCCAGTGAATTCCCTGGTAGAATCCAACTGCTAGGAATCCTCTCACCAGTGAACTGGAGCAGTCTTAGAGATCCAAACAGCACTTGTCAATATGCAGCCTGGGCCATAATTGACCAGACTGGAGGGGCTGTGATCAGGCTCCCCAGTTACAGCCCATATTGGACAGCAAAGAACCTGACCCCAGCTCACTCGCCTGATCTGGGCAGAGTTCTGGGCAGGAAATGCACTGCACCCAGCAATTCCTCCCACCTTGGTGGTGCATCAGGCCAGAATTTGTTTATTTTTCACATTTCTGAACCACCCATCTCCCTCAGTTATCCCAGGATGGCTCTGGGCATCCAGCAGAGAACAGCTGGACAACCCGAGACGGGCCTCTTTCTCTCCCATGGCAGCAGGAAAGCTCTTCCGAAGGAGCAGTCACCCCCGCTTTGCCTGGTGGAGTGTCTCATGCGCCTCACTGGGAAGAGACACCCACCAATAACTGCTCCCTCCCCAAAGTCTTGTAATTCTCTTCTTGCCCTCCCCCAGGACCTCCTGGGTAGAGCACCACTGCTGGCCCTGTGGTTTCCTTCTTGAGGGGAGACCAAGAACTCATAAACTATGCTGGATGGAGAGTGGCAAGAACTCTGCCAACTGCCAGGGAAGTTGGGAAGTCTCAAGGAAGACAGTTTGGGGACAGGGAAGAGTTGAATTGTAAACCTTAGGTAAAGGTGCCCTTGCAAGAAAGGGTGGAACAATGCACAGCACCAATTCCTGGAGCAAACAATTGACCAAAATCTCCCCACCCCCACCTCAATCTTGCTCTCAGGCACTTCTGTCTGGGGCTGCACTTTCTAGGCTCAAAATCTGGGGTGGGATTAGAACTGCTATTTCCCAAGCCTGACACTTCCTAAGGCTCACCAGATCAATGTTACCCTGGGGAGTCAGCCTTTGGTGAAGGGTTGGCTATTAGATTAGATTAATAAATGAAATAATTCTGGCACAAACTGGATTCAACCCAGTTAAGCCTCCAGTGCCTTTTCTGAACCTGAACCAAGGTGCAGATCGTTTGGCTTCTCTACCTGAGAGCACTGCAGCCCCATCCTGGAGGGCAGATTTGTGCAACATCCTGAGCTGAGATCCCGAAGTCCACCCACCCGCTTGTTTCAGGGGCGGGCAAGGCCTCGGGGCCCTCGCAGTCTGAAGGCACCGGGAGCACAAGCCCCCTCGAGCGGGTTCTCTGCACCCGCCGCACGCCTGGAGGCCGCAGCCTCAAAGCCAAGGCGGCGGAGCCCCTCGCCCTCGCAGGAGCAGAAACAGGGCAAGGCAGCGAGCCTCTCTCGGCCTGCCCACCGGGCCGAACCAGGGCAGCGGCGCCGGGCGGGGGAGAGAGGCGATTCCCGGAGGCGGCCCGCACAGGCAGCTGCCCTGCGCCGAAGGCTACACTGGAGCGCGGGTGGTCCGGCGCCGCCCGAAACATCCCCGCTCCCTGCTGCACCTGTGCAGGACGGGGGCGGGAAAAGGGCTCCGGCGAGCCGGCCTCCCTTGACCGGGGCGACGGGAGAAGGAGGCCACTTCCGCTGGAGAGCCGCCCCGAGGGTGGGCGCAGCGTGTCCCGGCTCCTTCGGGCCAGCGGCCGGCCCCCGCCGACCAGGGGCTACGCAGCGCCCCCGCCCGAGAAGGCGCTGCCCCGCCCCAACACCGGGAGACGGGACCCGAGTCTCCCCGCAAGCTGCGAGCCGGGCCGCCCCGAAGCCCCGGCGGCGTCGGCGACGAGGGCGGAGGCCGGGCGGGGGCGCCCAAGACCCTCAGACCCGGCGGCCGCTCCTCCGGCTCGCCTTCTGCACGTCCTCAGAGACGCCCTCGCTGCCCGCTGCGCGCCGCTCACCTTCATGTCGTTGACGATGGCCTGGAAGAGGCCGCCCAGCGCCCCGCACTCCTTCTCCGCCGCCTCCATGCCCGCCCGCCCGCTCGCTCCGCTCCCTTCCGCTGCGCTGCTGCGACGCGGCGGGCGAGGCTCTGCGGCGGCGACGCGCCCGCTCGGTCACTCCCCGGCCGGGGCGGCTGGCGGCGGAGGGGCCGGCGAGGGCGAGGCGCGGGGGACGCGGCAGCGGCGGGCCATGGGCTGCGGGGGACGGGCGCGCGCCTCGGATGCCGGCGCGGGGAGGGGGCGCGCTCCGGTCACGTGGGCGGGGAGGGGCGCCCTCTCCTCCGTCGCGCCTCAGCCGGAGCCCCGATAACTGGGGCGGCGCGCTCGGTCCGGGCTCCGGAGACAGAGGCGCCCGGGAGGGAGCGCGGCTCGGGAGCCCCGGAGTGTCTACTGGGCGGGAGACGGTAGCCGCTCTTCGGTCTCACGGACAGTCGGTGCTGGCGGGCTAAGGTGGCTTCTTTCCGGAACGGCGGAGCGCCACGGCTGACTCGGGCCGTCCCCGAGGGTCGCCGCAGGGCCGGATCAGCTGCCGCTTTGCGCCTCCTTCCAGCCTGGCTCTTACAATTGAAGCCCCCCCCCGCTCTCCTGCCGGGCTTCCCCGCTGCCGACCTCGGCCCCGCAGGATCCCGGACGGCCCGCTTTAACCCTAACCCCCCCCCAGTGCCTGCCCGACGTCCAGGAGAGCCGGCCGCGGGAGCGGTGCGCCATCAACGGCCAGTCCTCTTTATTTTAAATCTCTTTATTCAAGCAACGGGACACAGGACTCGCGGGCGACGCCGGAGCGCCCGCGGGGAGACCTCCGGGGCCGGCGACAAACACGCGGACCAGCGCGCACGGCGAGGGGGCAGCGGCGGCGCCCCTCCCCCCAAAGTCCGGGCTCGGCACTCCGATGCGGTCGGCCGAAGAAAGGCCCCGGTCCGGCGAGTCCGTGGGGAGTAGAGGGGGCCCGTCCTCGCGAGGACCGTCAGAAGGCGGCCGCCCCCCGGCGCTCCGGCGGCTCCCCCGCCCGCACGGCCCGTTGGTGGCGGCCCTGGAGGTGTTTGCCCTGGACCCTCTCGAAGTGCTGCAGCAGCTCCGCGTAGTCGATAGCGGGGCTGGCGGCCGTCTTCTTGGCGGCCTGGCCGGCCTTAGCAGGGTCCCTGCGGAAAGAGGGCGGAGGGTCAGCTGGCCCAGGTCGCTCACGGGGGGTTCGGCACCGGGGCCCCTCGAGGCAATCCTGCTTTTTAAATTCGGCCGACAGCCCGCCCTGCCAGCCTTCCAGCAGGCTCTGCCGGCAAGCCGGTGGCCGAATCGCCCCTTGCCTCCCCGCCTGAAAGGCTGTCATGCCCCCACCCAGCCCAAGCCCAGAGAGGGCTGAAGCCAAGCAGGAGAAGTGCAGCGCAGCCTGGGCCCTGGGGCTCCCGTCTGGCCAGATGCACCCAGTAGCCCCCTCTGAGGGTGGCTGGAAAGGGCAGGTCTGGTGGGGTCTCACTGTCTCCTGGCCCCCTTCCTCATTACAGGGTAGGACTTGCATACGGAGGCAGCACGGCCCCACCGCAAAGGCCTTCCCCCCCCCCATCCCAACTGGGAAGCCCTTTGGGACCCACATTCAGGATTCCAGTGAGGAAGGTTATCCGGGTCAAGGGGGTCCCATCCCCCCAGCAGTCTCAGTTTGGGGGTGGGACTATTTCCTTTAGTTTCCTACAAGGCTCAAGCAAATTCTCTGCTGACCTTCAACACACTGGACCTGCCTGACAGCCCTAAAGAAATGAGGGTAATGTGGTTTTAGAAGAGAGGCTGGGCTGGGCTGACCATCCACTACGCAAAGAAAAAGTGGGAGATCTCTTTGCTGCCCCCCCCATTCCAACTGGGATGGCTCCTCTGCTTCGGGCCCATTAGGGGTAGGGTGGCTGCAATGTGCCCTGTGAGGGCTGGACTAGATGACCCTCTGCCCCTCACACAGAATGACGTTTTTATTAGGACAAATGGACATTCTGGAAGGCCCAAAAATCCTCTTCCAACTCCTCAGGGCTGATATGCCTCCTACCCCCACATGTTGCCTTCCCCCCCCACACTGGAAAAATGATGGGGGGGAGCCCTGCCCCAAAAGGAAAGGAACAGCTGGTAGCAAATGGGAATCCCAGGTTTCCAGGCACCCCAAGGCCCAGGCAGTAGGGAAGAGAGTCCAGCCCCAAAGAAGAGAAGCCTTCAAGGGGTTGTGATGCTGTGGGGGGGGGAGGTGTGTGTGTGTGGGGAGAGGTGTCGGGGGGGGAACTCCCCTCCAAGCCTTGGAGCGCTCAACTCAAGGCCCTTGACTGTCAAAGAGTGGGGAAAAGGCCTGCACAAGAGAACCAGGTGGAGCCCCATCCATCCAGCTCAGGAAGAAAGGGACCCCACCTCCCTCTCCCAAGAACCAGTTCCGGAGGGCCGGTGGAGGAGTCCAAGGCCGGCCTGGCTTCTTCCTAGCTTCCCTGAGAAGGGCCAGGGGGTGAGGAAGGGAGTCTGGGCGAGGGATTTCCCAGGGGCCCCTCTGCCACCTGGGGGGATGGTGGCGGCAAATGGCTCCAGCTGCTGCCCTGGGGCCGGTTTCCATGACAACACTGCAAGGGGAATTTTCCACCCTGGATGCCAAAGGCATGAGGAACGGCTCTCTAAGGTTACCAAAAATAGACAAAGCTGGGACCAGCTAGGCGAGGGCTGAGATGCTGTCTTTCAACCCTCCTTCTGCACCCAGGGGAAAAGTCCCAGCTGCCTGCCAGCCCCACACCAGGAGTCCAAAAAGCAGCTGAGGTGCTCCAACAAGGGCCCAGTGGATCCAGGCATTTGCTTGAAACATACCGAGGGCCCTTCAGTCGGGACCCTTCAAGGCAGTGGATGCCAGTTCTGAGGGTCCCTGAGGGGCCAAGCGCAGCTGTGAATGCCCTTTGCAAGGCAGGGCAGATGAGCCCCTTAGAGGGGTTGAGGCAGAGAGCAAAGGCATTTTACCTGCTGTGCAGCCTCCTGTGCTGAATGGTTATTTTGAACATGGCTCTCCTTGTGCAGAAGGCGCCCCAAATGGTAACGGTGGTGCAGCCTTGGAAAGAGCAAGTGGCTGAACAACGTGTCCGCCTGGACAACGTTGGTCAGCCAAGTGGCCAAGTCAACAGGCCACTTCCATCCTAGGGCGGGCTCCCCTTTGGAAAGGGGGGTGGGGAATATTGTAAAGCGAGTGCAGATTTAGCCAAGGCGCAACTTACACTGTTTGCATGAGTTCTGGGTTCGGGACGCACTGCAGCCGGTGGGAAAGGAGCTGGAAAGCGTTGCTCTGGGGCAGGAGCATCAGCAGCCCGTAGAGAGCCTTGAGGAGGTATGGGTTGTTTTTCACGTCCAGCAGCTGCAGGCGGAGATCTGGAAGAAAGCCAGGGTATGACTCATGCGGTGAGGCAGAAACAGAAGTGGGTCCCTGAAACCTGCGATCCAGTGACGAGTTATCTGGTAGGTGGGCTACTAAAAAGCTTCTTGTGGGAAACAAAACAGCCCAGGGCCTGCCAGGCTCCAAAGCGCACGAGGGCAGCAGCCCACCATGGCTTGAAGCCCAGGAAGCCGAACAGAGGGAGCCAGGAAAGAATTTGGGTAAGAAAGCAAGCAAGAAGAGAAGACCTGGGGGGGGGTGGGGGGGGGCAGAGCCAGGGCAGAGGTCCTAGGGAACTCCCTCCTAGACCAGGTGCAGGAATGTGGTAGGACCTCACTTTAGGACCAGTCATTTAATGACAAACTTGAGTTACGACAGCCACAGAATGAGTGCTTTATGGCCCATAAAGCATTATTAGCCATCACAAAATGTTGCACAATTACTATAGCCTGCAGTCACATGACATGATCTGCATGCTTGGCAACCTGTTCGCACTTAAATCCAGTTTCCCTGGACTGAGTCTGGGGCTAGCTCCTGCGGGAACCTTTGTGCAAATTAAACCCTTTCCTGGACCAGGATTCGCTTCCAGTTTGGATTACTGCAGTGCACTCTCCATGGGGCTGCCCTTGAAGACCACTCAGAAACTAAAATTGGTCGACTTCCGGTTGACATCGCAGCGAGATCGGATACGAGGAGCGGGTCTCTGTCCTCCCGTGCCGAATCCTCCCCGTTGGTGGGCTCCAAGGAGAGCCAAAGCTTCCCTGTAGGGGAGGGAAAGCGAAGAGGGGTGCCCTGCATGGTCACGGAGAGTCACAACTCTCCTTCCTGACCCGAGGTTTTTCTTTCTCTCTCAGCCACAACGAGAAGAAGAGGCAGCCTAAATCTGGCTGCCACGAAGCTGGGGCAACCAAGGAACACCTAAGACTGGTGCTGGAGCGGCGTTAGTGAATAGTGATTGGAGCTGGGTGAGAAGATACCTTTTTTTTTGCATTTAGTCCCTAAACCTAAAGGAAAAAAGAAAATCCAGAGAAGAAAAGAGACTCCTAGAATTACCTTTTATAAAGGTAATTTATAACCTTTATAAATAACCAGAGAGAAAAATCCTAGACCCGAATGAAAGGAACTGAGGGGAAAAAAGATAAAGATCTTCTAATCAAAGAAAATTGGATTTTAAACTGGGTAGGGGTAGTTATGGAATATGCTGGTACTATGTACCTGAATTGATTAGAGTATCTAATTTTGTCTCTATAAACTGAATTAAATTTAGATTTTATCACGTTTGAAACAACACTGAAACCTCTGTTGATGCTGCCATCAAATCTAGCAAAATTTTGACAGAAGAAAGAAGAAGAAATAGGCAACATGTTTTTGAAGAATTGTGGTGATCCTAATTGTCCTATAATTAATTATTTTACTATTGTGATAAGGAAGACTTAAGTAAAGTGGCTTTTGTTGTGTGGAAACTGTCTTGACTATTTAAATGGAATTGATTAATAACCCTGAGCTATGATTACTGAACTCTTTGATGAGCAAAACTGGAACTGTTTGTGGCCCTGACTAAAAGTGGACTTATTAAACTAAAACAAGATGCCTTTTCACGGGGAAATGAGTGAGATTTCAAGAGAAAAGGCATGGATGTTTCAAAGCAGCAGGGATACCATGATACCATGGTATACCAAAGAGAGATAAAAAGACTTAACCCAAGACATTAGTGACAAAGTAAAAAATATG